TGATTCATACTGTATAGTTTTATTTTAATACCTCTTAGACTAATTCACACTAGAAGGATGCAAAATTGCTGTTATGAGATGACTTAAGTAACCCAGTTTAATTGCCAGTACAAAAGTGACACAAAATAAATGTCTGCTAGCATATAACAGATGGAAGAATATCCAAGTTATCTGATGGCTTTAAACAAAAGAGAATTAAAAATTCCTCCTTCAATACAAAACTCTCTAATTATCTAAATATTGCTTCAGATTTTAAAAGAAGAGTTTTGAAGAAGTTAGATGGGCCAAACACTCATAAAACCTGATCAAGGAAATTAATATTAGAATATATTTTTTCCAGTGTTTTTATATAATAGGCTTTGTAGCAGTTTTGGTCCTAATCCTATTTGGAGAAATATTGGAGTAAAGAAATGAGTTAATTTCCTTTCCCACCTGAAAAGAACCTATTGTCACACCAGAACACACAGTCATTCACATTGTATATCCACCAACTGTGCAGACGCTGAAATAAAGGTCAGAAATTTTTCACTTAGCCTTTATTTGTTTGCACCTAGTGATGAACACGGGCCAAGAAGAGCTCAGGTAAAGCAGACACACATGCTGCTGCAGGATAACTCTGCTCTGTGCAAGATCATGTTTCTGCACTTAAAGGAGGTGATTGAAACCTTTGGACTCCTCCAGGTCTCGTTGAACTCGTGGTAGAGTCCCTCTGGCTGGCACAGCAGGAAATTTCAGGCTCCTTGTGCTCCAGCCTGGATCTATTTGTCATCACTGTTTTTTTTTTTCATCAGATTACTCTCCCACTTTTAGAGAGGAAAAAGAAAAAGGAAAAAAGTCTTGCTAGCATTGCTGCTTTCTGCTGGAGGCATTTTTATAAAGGATTCTTTTTTAACATCAATAAAACTCAATTTCTCCTTGTTTTAAACTACTGGGATGATGATGGAAAACTTTTCTGGTTTGATAATGAGATATATTTTTCACTTTTTACTCTTTCAACTCTAAATAGCTTTTATTAATATGATCTATCCTCTTAATCTTGCTTCCCACGCACAAAGAAAAATATCCCATAGAGAATAGTGTTTATATGCATTTATTAGTTACTTTGAGTTTTATTACTGCATTTCATACTGTGTTCAGTCCCACCAAGTGAGACAATGTGATGTATTTTTGAGTTCAAGTTGCATTTATAACCTTCCACAAAAGAGCAGTTAGACATCTAACCAAATGTGCCTGGAAGACTTTCCATTTTGTCCATATTCATCAAAAATTATGGTTTGCAGTGCCTGTACAAAGGGAACCTTTATTTATTGATTGATTGATTCCCATATAATCAATACAATGTTTTACATTTCATAAACTAGTCTTTAACTTGCTTGAACAACCTCTCTTTTATCAATAGTTCAGTCATGACCTGGGGGTGCTCATTTCTCTGGCATTTATTTGGAAATCGCAGCTCACGATCACGTCACTTACTAATACCTCAAACAGCATGCTTTTATGCATCTTGTTTTCATAGATTTTTTTTTTTAATATAATTGTTTTTCATTAAGCTTTCTATGCCACGATTAACACCTCTTCTCCTCAGCCATTAAGTAGTTTACCAGATGACACACATTACTGTACAGGACCACCATACGCTGAAAAATTGTGCTCACTCAAACAGAAGCAAGTATCTCTGTGCTAATTGCCACTAGTGATAGTCTTTCTTTCTGGAAAGATAATGAGGTAGATTTTGCTTTTAATAAAACTTATGTAGATGCATAATAATTCTGCACATCTGCAATGTGTTTTTTTCCAGATCTGCATAACCATAGCTGGACTGCCTTTGTCTAGCAGAACAGATTTCTTGTCCATGCCTGGATCCAGAACACCTGCTTTCAGCATTATAGCTGACTTCAAGCTTAGGGACAAAATCTTTCACCTGTGATCTCAGATACAAGTTCAGTGATTTTTTAAAGTTGGTTTGGTTGGTTGGTTGGTTGGGTTTTTTTTGTAATGTGGCCCATTGTGTCTAATAATTTATTTTTTTTTAAATACATATTCCTATGTTTTCCACTCCCTCAGCTGGCAAGAAGCAACAGAGGAACAGGGACAGTTCTGGCAGTCAGAAATCTGACTCCAGGGATACAACCCAAACTCTTTGCCATTTTCCTCTCAAAGTATGGAATTGTGAGAAAGTAATATATTGGGACATATCACTGTTAAAATGAGACATGGTGAAATTTTGCTTGTCATCATTTAGCTTATCAGTTAAAAAAAATCATGTGTTTCCATACTGACTTTTTTTTTCTTTTCTCTTTTTGACACTTAAAATTCTACTGAAATACGAAGAAGCCACACTTCTACTCTGGAAATAATGTGCAAAGCAATTCCTTGAGTGTTGCCACAGACTAAGGATGAAGAATCAGTGTAGATTTTCATTTCTATATAGTTCTCCACAAGATATCACTAAGAAACGAAGTGGAATTATGGGTTGCAATGGAAAGTTAAAGAGCAGTGAAGTTGTTTGCAGTGGAGTTCAGTCAGATCTGCTTATTTCAGCAATCGCTGTTCAGCAGCAGATATGACTGTTCTGTGGAAATCACTAGTCATGAGTTTCAGTGGCACTTTGCCTATGCAAGACAAGATGAACCCAACTGATTATCATCACGACTTCCCTCCTCTGCAGTAGAAATTTGTGCTGTGACACACAGTACCAGCTGCTGGACACTGGCTACTGTAATAAAAGTTAATTTGCAGGATGGTATGGGCTGTATTAATTTTCAACGTGGCAAACTGCTAACAGTTGACCCAGCCTTGGGCCAGTGTTGTTTCATCAGCAAACTGGAAAAGGAAGTAAGTCATGAGTCATATAAAATGCTGTAGATGATAGAGAATTATTTAGGTTAGTCAAAGCCACAGGAGTCTGGAGGGATATTAGAGTAACTTAAGGACTTGAAGAAAGCAGTACAGCACTAGCTGAAATTCTTTGTAGCTAAAAAAAAAGATAAAAATAATTTTAAAAAAAATTAAGTCATTTACCTGAAAAGAAGGTACAATTTGTACAAAGTGGAATAGCTTTGCTAAGGAACTGAAAGAAAATTTCATGGCCTCACTCCTTCCTCTTCCTCATCCCACCCCAGTCCTCCAGAATACTTACAGCCTACTCACTAAGAAACCTGCAAGAATTATGGATGGCTCTGGTTAAATTTGTGTGATATCAGGTAGATAAGGAATTAAACCCCAAGCCTCTAATATTTCAGATTACCCTGGCAGTAAACCCTTGGACTTTGAATTATGTTTTTAGGCGAGAAAAGAAAGAGCATGTGGAGCAGCCACATTACAAAGGGTGGCAGTGGCCATTCCTGTGATGGAACCCAGTGCATGGAGCTCTCTTGCGGAACCCCTGAGGAGGCGTAAGCGAGAGATCATCAAACTTTTGGATCCCCTCCAGGACAGTAGCTGGTTATCACATTGCCCATTTTTTTGAGACTGAGAAGAAGAAATGGAGTGGTAGAAAGACTATGGCAAACACAGCCAATTGCTTTAACTGAAAATGCAGCGGTGCAAGAAAAATCAATACGAAAACCAAGTCTAAATACTTTCCCCATCATGTTCCCTCTCTGAAGTGGGAATAAAGCACACATCTGAAATTTTCTAACTGAAAGCCAATGTCAGTTCAAGCAAATAGCCCACTACACACACACAAGCTCTTCAGATATTGCAACATGAAGTAGGAGACCCAGCAGCAGACAACCAGCTTAACTAAGCACCCCTTTGAGAACAGCTCTTTAGGGAGAGACAGCTGAGCCATAAAAACTGCTGGGAATGAATGACATCAATGCAATTTACTGGCTTTCTTCAAATAAAGACCTCAGCGTAAGGAAATGATTTAAGAGACAACTAAACTCTGCTAGAGTCATAATTAGTAAATAATAGGTGCCATTACACACACTGGTGTATACAGCTAATTCAGGATAATGACAGAACAAGCTCTACTTTATTCAAAAAAACACATTTTATTAACATTGGTATTTAGTAAAATATTGTAGGTGAAATTAATTGAAATTCAGATATGGCTCAAACACAAAACATAAAGGAAGGTGCAATAATATCACCATAGGCATCATCTACCATAGGAAATACAATAGTGCCCCAAAAGAGGGATTACTCAAGATTTGCAGAAGCTTCTGCTTTTCCTTTTTAACAGCCACCACAAACACAGATATCAAGATCCTCAGCAGATGTAATCAGCATGGCTCCATTAAAACCAATAAAAATATGCTGATTTATGCCATACAAAGATCTGGAGGGTAGCCTAGAAGAAATTGCAAATGTCATGAAAAACTAATGGCTACCTTTTCATTTTCATATTTGAATAGCTTATTCATTGCCTTTGTCAGTGTGTTTATCAAAGTATCCCTATTCCCCAGTTTTCTCTTCTGGAATGAGCCAGATTTGGCTTTGTACTTCTTTTACCATTATGAAAGCTTCTGAAAGCCTTGGCTATGAGTGTAACTGTAAATGACTGTCTACTTAAATGATAGTGCAAAGTATGTAAAATGGTAGGGCAATAAACCTCTGAACACACTTTTGAAATGTGCCTTTTCTTTAGCAAGCAGAGGATGCCAAAAAAAAATCCATGGCAGAGATTTAGCTTTGTGCTCTCCTTAGTTATACTAAGAGACAACTGATTTTTCAAATCTTAATGGCTTCGTAACAGCTGAAATATTCTCCCAAGGCAGTAGTAACAGTCCCACATTAAAAAAAAAAAAAAAAAAGGAAATCTAAATACCTGGCTTTGCCAAAGTATTACTGCACAGAAAACAGAACAGAAGAACCAAACTTAGGTTCATTCTTCTTCTATTAAATGCAATTCTTTATAAAAAGTAAGTTGGAAATAAAAAGCCGTTCTGAAAGACAGAACTGTGTTGGTGTATAAAACTGTGTGGAAATTTTCTTACAAAAGAAGAACGTGGAATCAAAGCAAGGTGTTTCAAATATCCAAGTGCACATCAGCTTTAAGACTTCGGGTTATAGGTCTGAGGTTTTTTAATCAGTTTTATCATCATTTTTCTGCGGAGTACATTCGTTGGCTTGTTGATTCTTGGTTTCCTAGTCCCTGCTAAGAAAAAAGAAGGAAGGAGTTAAGGAAACAGCATGACAAAACTGTCACTGGTCTTTATTGTTTGGAGTTTTGGGCTTGGGTGTTTTTGTTTGTTTTTTAATGTTATGCTGTTTAAGCAGTTGATCCAATAATAACAAACATATCAGGAACTGTAAAATCTGCTCTAGACACCCTATTCTCACACACAGTCAGGTCTCCAATGTGTATCTACCTTTGGCACTGGAGTCCTACTTTACTGCTCTTTTCTGCATCAAAGTCTTTTCTAGCTGTCCTGCAGTGACAGCAGAATGGAAGTAAACACACTATCTCAAAACAAAATAACAACCATTCCTGCATTTCTTTGAAGAACAGTGAAATCTAAAATATAACCTATGTTTCTGAGAAATTAGAAGGTAAAACTATTTGGGTTTCTGCACAGAACTGGATTTCACACAGAAGCTGCAGAGTGATCAAAGACAGTTGGGGTTAACTTCAGAAATGCTTAAGGTGGCTGCAATGAAATGTGTGAGTGCAGTTCAGAAAACAAGTACTTTGACAGAAAATGTTCATCTTTATGCTACCTCAGCATGCAGAGCCCCTGTCGCTAGTTTCCAATACTTTCCTTGTCACACCAATGTATTTATTTTCTTTTCCAATGTAAACTTTTAAAAGTGAAATTAATCAGAAATGTTTTCATTCCAAAAGCTACAGATCAATTTAAACAGCAGTTGTATATTTACACAAGGAAAGTCAACTGAATTCAACTTGAGAATCCGAAAGGTAACAGGAAAGATGCTGGAGAGGGTATTGTAGGAGCAGTAGAGAAGGCATGACTTAAGCTGATTGAAAGATTTGCTTGATGTTGCTGTACACTCCCAAGCTATAGAAATGAATATGTATAGCACAACATAAATTAGCACTAATTATGCCCTTAACTATGGGCTTTGGTTGTACAAAGCATTATTGAATTGTGAAACCCACAAACTGGTGAAAAAGCTTATTATAATCCTTTGCATTTGTCTATCTGGTGCTCTAGTTATGAGAAAAACAGCATTTCCTTACTTCTTTCTTCCACAAAAGACTGAGAAAGGGAGAATGCCCAGGTGGATTTGGGTGGGTGTGGGCAGAGGCAGAGCATGGAAGCAAGATGTTGAAGAGGCAGTTTTGTTCCTCTTCTCTCTGCACACTTGGGCTGGAGCCTGGCCCTACCATTTCTCAGGTCATAATAGATGCAAATTACATAATCACAAGCATCTCAGATAGACTTAGCATGCTATTAAAGACTGTCTTATAATACTAGAATGGCAGAGACACACTCAGACTTGTCACTCACAGAAATATTACTGTCGTGACTAATTGGCAGACTATTTTTACTTCTGAAGACCGTGTTCAGGGTACAATCTCACCCTAGGCCTGGATTTCCAGCCCAAAACTGAAGAATCATCTTCTGACTTAAGCCTTCTGAAAATATATCTTAAATATTGAAGTACTTGGACCTTATGTATATCTTACATTTAAAACAGAGCTACTTTTCAACTTTTATTTTTTTTCCAAAGACAATGTACATGCTAGATACAGCCTGATTTATTTTTTTTTCCCCATTTGTATCAATGTTTTAAATATTGTGCTGTGTCTGCTTCCTGAGTGCTCTAGGGATCAACATGCAACTATGCTTTTCTCTCTCTCATTGATTTACATATCAAACGAATTAAACTAGCATATTAAAACTTACTGTTGCTGGTATGAACATATGACTACAGGTAATAGCCCAACTCTTTGGATTTACAAGCACAGCCAATAGCAGATTGGATAAAACCATTAAGAAAAATCAGTTACCATTCCCAACTTTTCCCTTCACAGCCATAGAAATAGTTCATTCAGTATAAGCCATGAGGAATACATTTCTACCAATGGGACTGGGAAATGGGAACAGGCAGCAGGGAATGAAGGGGGGATGCTAACTGCTGCAAATGTGAAGGAAAAAAGTAAGTTGATTCCACAACTCACTTCAATCCTACTTAAATCTAGAAGAAAATTATACCTTAATCAGTGTTCATGCTGGTACTAAACAATTTAAAGATTGAATCCTTGTGGGCTCTAGTACATTAAATAGTCTTTGTGTGCCCTTCTCTATATTCATTCAAAAATAGTGTAACCACCTCCTATTGCACCATTCCTCCCAGAAGGATTTAGCGTTACATCTGAGTTTTCCCTGACTTTGTAAACATGGAGTCCAAAATGCAAAATAAATACACTTGTAGCAAGCCTAGTTGAGTAAAGAACACCATGAATTGGTGGTTCTAGTATTTGGATTGCTTCATCTGCTTGTGACTGGCAAAATACAGAAAGAAAAAAAAAAATCTTACCTTTCCTGCAGACGTTGTAGCAATCCCTCTCAGTAACAAAGTTATTGGCATTTCCACCACAGCCAGTATAGTTGAACTCCTTACATGATTTAGTCTTGGTGTCATAGTAGTAGCGAGTCACAGAAGAAGAACACAGTCCTTCATCCTTTGGGCTATAGCACAGCAGGGGACCAGCTTGAAAAAAAAGAAAAGGGGTTGGGGGGGAGGGGGCAGGGGAAGAAGAGAGAGAGGAAGAAAGACAAATTACACAAATGTAATCTCTATGTCTGGCTTCTTAAAATTTACCCTGCAGTAAGTTTTGTGGCTAAACAGTTCTTATTCTCATTGAATTAACTTAACTGTTACTAATGACTTCAGAAACTTACTACATCTTATTCCTGTGAGTTTGGGATTTGAGGAAGCAACAGAAAGTCTCAGAAAAAAAGGCTTATTACCCTACAAGTGAAATCCAACAGCTTTCCCCATTTGTGGTGCCATACACAGAACAGCTGAGATATTTATATAGTCAGGCCAGAAGTCTTATTCTACATATATAGGAATATAATAATAATTCTAGTAGGACTACCTCTGTGGAGAAAAAAAAAGCACTATTTTGTTTATCCTTGCTACAATTTTGCCAGCGAATCCTGCCTGCTTGCAGCAAAAAGTGCAACCCCTACTACTTTCCTCACAAGAATCGCATTTCATTTTGCCTTAACAAAATTTTACTTTTCTTGCTGCAGACCTTTTATCAGTGTATTGGATGTCCAACAGAGAAGCTAATAATAATTCAGCATTCATCTAAGAAAAAGCTGACAATCTGTCACTGTTCAAAAATAACTGTCTCATCAGGCACTAATAAAGGTTAGGCAGTGACAGCTTTTATGCAGCCTGGCTGATATCTCTTCTTCAAAGATCCTGTTTTGCACTGGATATTAATGCACTGTTTATGATAACACTTTGCTATAGCCATCTGCTCCTAGTTACCACCTCTCTTCTTTAAAGCTCATGTGGAGAGACAGTGAAGAGTCACGTCAGCCAAAAAAACCTTTTATCAGAGGCTGAGTTGGCAAGTGACAAAACCCCAAGCCACCTAACACCATCTCTCAGCTCTGAATTTTGGAAAGACACTTCTGTCTTCTATTACAGTATCACTGCCCTGAACATGACTGCCACAATGTCTCATACGTTTGCCTCAACAGAGATTTCCAACCTTATTTCCCTTCAGATTATGCATGTACAGCTCTCTGGAAGTCGAGACTGGCTGGGTGCAGCTGTGGGCATATTTAAGGCCACTAAAACTAAAACTAACACAGCATTTTTGCTTTTTCAGTAACAGCTGAGACAAGCGACACACGAAAGTCTGCATGCAATATAAATATCCCCTTCACAGAAGTCTTCAAAAATACCACTGTACGGGTATCCAGAGGAAAATATCAAATGAAATATCATCTTCATATCGCTTTCAAACCATCTATTTTATTAAAAATTTAGAACAATCATTACTTTTCTCTGGCAGACAGTGGTCCACACAAGACTGCAAATCTCTGAAGTTGTTGCCATTTCCGTAACAGCCACCATAGATGAACTCCTCACACCTCATCGAGCTCAAGTTAAAGGCATATCTTTTCAGATGACTCCTGCAAGGTCCTCCATCAGCCTCCATCCGGCACAATTTGGGCACTTCTGAAAAAAAAATAATTTAATCCTCTGTGAAATCAGCTCTTCGTGCTCCTTGTACTGGAAGACATGGTAGTGTAGACAAAACACTATTACTCCAGTTGCAAGCAAGTCCCAGCTTGTCCCACTACCTGCATTCTTTAATAAAGCGTGATAAGATGAGGAGGAATCTGATGTATTAATTAGCAACTAAGTCTAATCTTAAATTACATTGAAAATATTAATAGCGAAATTCCACATGTTGCCTCTGGGACAACTCGCCCGGTTTTCCTGCACAGAACTGACATCAGCGAGAAGCTGCAACCAGCCAGAGGGACAGACGGAGTGGGTGCGAAGCGTCCC